GGATTGTAACTCTTTTATCCCTGGTTCTCAAAGATTACTCTTTTAACCACTTAATCCTTGTTCCATCCGAGTTAACCAACTAAGCGAAGATTAACTCAAGACTTCTCTACACGAATTAAGCAAACGTATACAACATCAACCTCTTCACAGATTAAGCAACTGTGGCATTGAAGCACAGCCCATTAAGCATGGACACAGAGGTTCAATGGAGAAGAACAAAGCAGAACAGAGACAGAAAAATATACCCAACCTCAAACAGAGATTACAATCCACAACAAGAGGCCAACCTAGTGTTTTTAGCCTTCCATTTAAACGAAAACAGAAACGAAATTACAAACAGAAAGAAAAATGAAAACAGAAACGAAAATGCAAGGAAGAGAAGGAAAACGAAATGGCAGCTCAGAGAAGCAAAACATAAAGGAAGCAGAACAGGGAAGCAAAATGTAAAACTCAGCTGAAAGCAAGAAAAACGTGAATAACAATGGAGTTTTTTGAGCAGAGAAACAAAACGTTCAGCACCTCAAGAGACCCAAAACGTCAAAACTAAAAATAAAAAAAAAGCTAAAACGTCCAGCATAATGAAGGAGGCTACTGTTCACGTGGTCACATCAGACCCCTCCGCTAGTGACTGCCAAGTCAGCCCTAGCCTAGACCTAAATGAGCAAAACGAATTGGGCCCAATAAAGTACAAGTCTGACCCAATAAACTACAATAAAATAAAATATAAAATGAAAATAAATGTTGAGGTGGAAAATGGTGCTGTGGTGGAAAATGACGTGGCAGCTCCACTTGAAGTCTATTTATAATAGATAAGCGCATGCAAACAAGGAAAATCAAGCAATTGGCAAGGAGCTGGGACAGTCACCAACTACATAACACATTATCAAGGGGCAGTGTAAATTAGGTGGACAGTTTTAGAATATATTATACAATTACTAATTAGTACAGGCACTTACACAATTATGATGTAGAGTGTATATGCCGATATTAGCAGTTAGCAGTGCAAAACACAATCAAACCGGCTTACACAAGTAATTATAATAGGCATTATAATGAACCAAAGAAACTTGATATTAGTTTGAGACTCAAATCATTAACTATATAAATAAAACTAAGTATAATTGATAATATTTTTAGGTTGTTCAAGTTAGATTTTCTGCAGCATGTCATTGTACTCAATATTATATCATACGTAATACTTTCATATTTTTCGCTTCAATAAAATCTTGAATTTCTGAATACTCCATAACATTTTGCATACAACACAAAAGATATTTGAGACACATGGCCTTAAATTCAACCATGTATCACTCGTACAATTTGAATATTAGGGTTTGAGAAAAATAGTGTGTTATACACACTTCTCTCCTTTTTTATTATATATAATATATTGAGTACATAAAATGGAAGAGACCCCAGGAGTCTAAGACACACATCAGACATATAAAAGAAATACTAATAAATACATAGGCTTCTCTAATAAGCTATTCTAACACTCCCCCTCAAGCTCTACTTGAGTTTAGCCTTTTTTTAATTGTGCCTTTTTAGTTTTTATTCCTTGGCCTCTTGTACTCTTAGTTTGGTTTCTTCTTGGCCTAGGTGAGGAAAACTTCTAAACACCACACACTCTCTTGGTGGATTGAGTGGAGGGGTTGTCCGAATTGGTGTCCAAGGTGCTTTGGAGGATCACACAAAAACTAAGAGAGCAAACACCAAGGAGAGGAGTAATTTTGGGTGTTCTTTGTGAAGGGAAGCAATTTGGAGACTTGAAGACCTAATTTTTGTTAATTGTTTTCCTTTGTGGAACATTTTGCACTTGTGTTTTTGGCCTTTGTTTCTTTGATTTTTGGTTTGTAATTGGCCTCTTTAAACCTATTAGTTTTAGGGTAATTGGAGTAGTGCTTGTGGGAGTGGCTTGAATACCACCAAGGTCACTTAAAGCTCCCACCCTAGGCAATCCGACTAGTACATGCTTTAATCACTTTCCTTGCATGTTTTATTCTTTGGTAGTATAATTGCCTAGGTTCTTTTTTTTCATGTTTCATTTTAAAAGGCTTCAAGTTGCCTAATAGGGGGCCATGCACACAAACGCACACACTCAATTCTTGTGAAAAATTGTTTTGTAAGAAAGGTATAAGAGGGCTTAGTGATTTTTACTTGAAAATGCTTGGTTTTTAAGTGATTTCTTGTAGTCCACCTCCCTTGATAGTTCAATTTGTACACTTAGGCTTTCTAATACTAATGTACAAAACACCTAAACATAAAACCTAAAATAACAAATAAATTGTAAAAGCATGTAATCAAACCAAAACAGTTCCCCCCCCCCCACACTTAAATCACACATTGTCCCAATGTGGCCCAAACAGAAGATCAGAGCAATCAAAACAATCAATAAGTCTGGACAAGTGCAATAAAAGTAAAGAAGGAGAAGGGGAAAGAAAACTCCCTAAGTCATGGCAGCGGGAGAGAAGCAGGGTCAAGCAGAGACATCTCCTCTTCAACTGCATTCAACAGGGATGGATTGCTGAGGAAAGGCTTCAGACGGTGCCCATTAACTTTGAAGCTCTTGTCCGTGGATTCACTTTTGACCTCAACTGTACCATAAGGAAAAATATTAGTAACAAAAAAAGGTCCAATCCACTTAGAATGTAACTTACCACCCATGAGTCCGAGCCGAGAATTGTACAAGAGAACTTTCTGGCCAACCACGAAGTCCTTCCTAGCTATCAAGTTGTCATGGAACTTCTTGGTTTTCTCCTTGTAGAACTTAGAGTTCTCATACGCTTCAAGGCGGATCTCATCCAGCTCATTTAGTTGCAGCCTCCTTTCCTCACCAGCCTGATCAATGGAGAAGTTGCAGGTCTTCACAGCCCAGTAGGCCCGATGCTCAATCTCAACAGGTAAATGACATGCCTTGCCAAAGACAACCCGATAAGGAGACATCCCTATGGGTGCTTTGTAGGTAGTCCTATGCGCCCAAAGAGCATCATCCAACCTGTTACTCCAATCTTTTCTGTTGGGCTGGACAATCTTCTCTAAGATTCTCTTGATCTCCCTGTTTGAAATTTCAGCTTGCCCATTGGTTTGTGGGTGGTAGGGTGTAGAAATTCTGTGCACTACCCCATACTTCTTGAGCAAAGCCTGCATAGATCTGTTACAAAAATGGGTGCCTTGATCACTAACAATAGCTCGGGGTACTCCAAACTTGCAGAATAGGTGAGATCTAACAAAATCCACAACAACTCGAGCATCATTAGTTCTGGTGGGTTTGGCTTCCACCCATTTTGAAACATAATCAAAAGCTAAAAGAATGTAGGAAAAACCAAAAGAAATAGGGAAGGGACCCATGAAATCAATACCCCAAACATCAAACACCTCACAGAATAGCATGGGCTGTTGAGGCATCTGCTGTATCCATGTAAGGGATCCTCCTGCTCTCTGACACTGATCACAAGTGCTACAAATCTTCCACGCATCCTTGAAAATGGTGGGCCAGTAAAAACCACAGTCAAACACCTTGCGAGTTGTCCTCTGAATGCCAAGATGACCACCAGATGCAGAAAAATGACAGAACTGTAGGACGGAGTCAATCTCATGGTCCGGCAGGCATCTCTTGATTACCTGATCATTGCAAAACTTCCACAAATAGGGGTCATCCCAAACATAATGTTTAGCATCACTCTTGAGTTTATCAATCTGAGCTCTAGATGCTAAAGGAGGAAAAATAGAAGCAACTAAATAATTAACAATGTTCGCAAACCAAGGGGTGGGGGAAGGAACAAAAACAGAAGAAACAATCAACAAATTTTCATCAGGAAAGTTATCCTGGATGGGCAAGACATCAGCACTGTCCTCATCTCTCTCAATCCTGCTGAGATGGTCTGCCACTAAATTCTGAGCTCCACTCCTGTCACGGATGTCCAAGTCAAACTCCTGGAGCCAGAGCATCCACCTGATCAATCTAGGCTTTGACTCAGCCTTTTTCAGTAGGTACTTCAGAGCTGCATGGTCAGTATAGACAATAACACGAGAACCAAGCAAATAAGATCTAAATTTATCAAGAGTAAAAACAATGGCAAGAAGCTCTTTCTCAGTGGTAGTGTAATTTGCTTGGGAAGCATCCAAAGTCCGGGAAGAATAATATATCACTCTGGGGAACTTGTCAACTCTCTGTGCCAGGACAGCTCCCAATGCATAATTGGATGCATCACACATCAGCTCGAATGGGACTGTCCAATCAGGTGCCTGAATGATTGGAGTGGTGGTGAGTGCTTCCTTGAGGCAGTCAAAAGCCTGTTTACACCTGTCATCAAAAACAAAATCAACATCTTTTTGTAGCAGATTGGATAGCGGAAGGGCCTTCTTGCTGAATTCTTTGACAAAGCGCCTGTAGAAACCTGCATGGCCAAGAAAAGATCGAACCTCTCGCACGCAAGAGGGGTAAGGTAACTGTGAAATAACAGAGACTTTTGCAGGATCTACTTCTATGCCCTTACTAGAAATAATATGCCCTAAAATTATACCTTGTTCAACCATGAAATGACATTTCTCAAAATTAAGAATAAGGTTAGTCTCAATGCATCTATTCAGAACTCTATCCAAACTATCCAAACATGCATCAAAAGAGCATCCATTAACAGTAAAATCATCCATAAACACCTCTATGCAATTTTCAAGAAAGTCAGAAAAGATACTAAGCATGCACCGCTGGAATATCCCAGGGGCATTGCATAGGCCAAAAGGCATCCTCCTATAGGCAAAAGTTCCAAAAGGGCAGGTGAATATGGTCTTTTCCTGATCCTCAGGAGCAATATGAATCTGAAAATAACCAGAGAACCCATCAAGAAAGCAGTAATGAGATTTACTTGCCAGACACTCAAGCATCTGATCAATGAAGGGAAGAGGGAAATGATCCTTCCTGGTTGCTTGATTCAGCCTTCGGTAATCGATGCAGACCCTCCAACTGTTTTGGACTCTAGTGGGTATGAGCTCATCCCTCTCATTTTTCACAACAGTGAGGCCTGTCTTATTGGGAACCACCTGGACTGGACTCACCCACTGACTATCTGAAATGGGATAGATGATCCCAGCCTGTAGAAGCTTGGTCACCTCTTTCTTAACAACTTCCCAAATCACCGGGTTAAGTCTCCTCTGAGGCTGTCTCCCTGGTTTAGCTCCATCCTCCAATAATATCCTGTGCATGCAAGTGGATGGGCTGATACCAGGAATGTTCGCCAGGGTCCAACCAATGGCTTTCTTATGCCTTTTTAGAACCTGCAACAACTTCTCCTCTTGAACAGCATCAAGGGAGGTGGAAATGATCACTGGCAACTTCTCCTCCTCCTCCCAGTAAGCCTACTTGAGGTTCTCTAGAAGAGGCTTTAACTCTGGTGTGGGTGTTGGCTGAACATCAGAAGGAACCAAAGAAGGGAGAAGGGGTTCCGCAGCCTGTAATATCCAGGGGTACAACACCGAAAACATCAGACACAAAATCAGATTCAAAATCAAACTCAGAAACATAATCAGATTCAGATTCAGTGCATGCAAGAGAAGTATATAGGTCAGATAGAAAACAATGTTTCTTATCATGCAAAGAATAAAAATCAGAAGCATACTGATCAACAACATCATCAAGTATCTCAGCACGAAAAATAGAATTGTCCTCAGATGGATGTTTCATGGCATCAAGAATATTAAAATGGACAACATTATCACCAAACTCCATGGACAATGTACTAGCATACACATCAATCTTAGTTCAGGCTATTTTTAAAAATGGTCTGCCTAAAATGATTGGGGCGGAACCATGGGAGAATCCCTCCTCCATGTCAAGCACATAAAAATCAGCAGGAAAAATTAGTTCACCAACTCGAACTAAGACATCCTCAATGAAACCTGTAGGGTGGGCGACACTTCTATTTGCCAACTATATCACCACACCCGTAGGCTGCATAGGACCAAGAGATAGAGATTTAAAAATGGACAGAGGCATGACATTTATAGAAGCACCCAAATCAAGCATGGCATTTTCAAATTTGCTATTCCCAATAATACAGGGTATGCAGAAAGTACCTGGGTCCTTACATTTTTCAGGAATGTGAGGAAAGATTTACCTATCAAAGCAGACACATTTCTACCCATGCTGATTCTCTCATTTCCCTTCATTTTCCTCTTGTGCGTGCACAGCTCCTTCAGAAACTTAGCATATCTGGGAATTTGCTTGATGGCATCAAGCAGAGGTACGTTCACCTCTACTTTCCTGAAGGTCTCCAATATCTCCTTATCCACCTCTTCCATCTTTTTGCTTGGAATTAATTTAGGAGGAAATGGAAGAGGGACAGGAGGCTGCTGCAAATCAGAACTGGTGCTGGAAGAAGAAGAAGGTCCACCACCTGCATGAAAATTTTGGGCACGAACGGGTTCATCATTTTGCTCAGGTGTAGATGATGGAACTGGTACTGGCACAGATGCAAATGAAGGTGAAGGTACTGCAGTGGGTATGTCAATCTGTTTGCCTGACCTCAATGTGATGGCACTCACATTTTTCGAATTCTGCACAGTCTGTGAAGGCAACTTGTCAGAATTTTGAGACTGTGCCTGATTCAGCTGAGTAGCCATCTGCCCCATCTGATTTGTCAAACTCTGTATGGAAGCTCTAGTCTCTTGCTGGAACTGCATGTTTTGGATGGTCATCTGTCTACCCAGCTCCTCCAATGAAGGCTCAAAAGAAGTAGAAGGTTGAGCTAGTTGGGTTGTAGGTGCAGGAGGAGGTCTCTGTTGAGGAGGTTGATATGTAGAACTTGAGGGATTATTCTGGAAAGGTGGTGGATTTTGCTGTTGCTGTTGAGGGTTTCCCTACCTCAAGTTAGGGTGATTCCTCCAACCAGGATTGTATTTATTGGAAGACAAATCATAATTATGTTGTTGCTGGTGTGGAGGTCTATTGTTGTAAATGTTTGCAGCATATGCTTGTGGGGCATCAGGACCTGTAGGAGAGTCTTGCAAAGAGGGACAAGCATCTGTTGGATGACTAATTGAAGTGCAAATGCCACATACTTTTGCTGGTGGTGGAGTTGATTTTTGATTTGTAGCCAGTTGTGAAACCAAGGTGGTGAGAGCATCAATCTTACTTTCCAGCTTTTTGTGTTCAGTGGAATCTGAGCCTACCACATCATGCACACCCCTCACAACTATGGCATCACTCCTCATATTGAATTGTTGTGAGTTGGACGCCATTTTTTCAATCAGCCCTCTAGCAAAAGCAGGTGTCATATCTCCTAAAGCTCCTCCACTAGCTGCATCAATCATGCTTCTATCCATCATGTTCAACCCCTCATAGAAATATTGCAATAATAACTGCTCAGAAATTTGATGGTGAGGGCAGCTAGCACACAGCCTCTTGAATCTTTCCCAGTACTCGTATAAGCTCTCCCCCATGAGTTGCCTAATTCCAGATATGTCTTTCTGGATTGCAGTGGTCCTGGATGCAGGGAAGAATTTTTTGAGGAACACTCTCTTCAAATCATCCCAGCCTGTTATTGAACCAGGAGCCAGATAATACAACCAGTCCTTGGCAAGATCCTCCAATGAAAAAGGGAATGCCTTCAGGTAGATGTGATCTTCAGGGACATTAGGTGGCCTCATGGTGGAACAAACTATGTGGAACTCCTTGAGATGCTTGTGTGGATCCTCACCTGCACGACCATGAAACTTAGGCAGCAAATGGATTAGTCCAGTTTTTAGCACAAAAGGAACATCTTCCTCAGGATATTGAATGCATAGACTCTCATATGTGAAATCAGGTGCATCCATCTCCTTAAGAGTCCTCTCACGGGGTCCATTATGTTCACCCATATTTTCTATTTCGCTTGAATCAAGTTCAGATGCAACACTTACACTAAGACTATCACTAAGACTATCACTATGGCTATGACTAACACTATCTAAAGATGGAATGATATGCTCTCTAATTAATCTATGGAATGTCCTATCAATCTCAGGATCAAATGGGTGCAAAAATTCAGGGTTGCTCCTAGTCATGCACTACATGAAACACATGCATGAATAGTAACCGTGAACAGTGAACAGTAGGGGTAAACTGGGAATTTCCATGAAAACTCAGAAAATATCAAAACTAATGCACCAACATCATCCTAAAACCATAAGACACTACCACAAAAAATTTGAGAACAAAATTCTAAACCTAACTATTTTTAAAAAATTAGAAAAGTTTGGAAAAATAGTGAAATAAAACTTCAAAAATAAAAAAGAAATAGTAAACGACCTTTTTTTGAAGATCTGGCTGGGGCCACCTCGCGTAGCTGTGTGGGTTTGATAGATCTTTTTTTTCTACACAATGAAAAAAAAGTTTGCCTAATTCCGATAACCAGAGCCAAAGTTATGGCCCTTTGAAGTTTTATTGAAAAAATTTTTAAAAAATTTTGTATCTCCAAATTTTCACCAAACTATGTGCCCTACCTATTTTTTACACAAAATATAGGTTGAAAGAAGTTACCACAAAAAAAATCAGATAAAAATAACAAGTCTAGCTATCAAAAACAAAAATCACAATTAATTGGAATTCTAGCACTATTCAGCACTATTCATGCGCCACATTTTGCAACACTTGCACACCCTTTTCCCACAATTTTAGAACCCGAACAGAGGAGTAGTAGGGAGAGAAAACAGAGTATCCCTATTCCAGAACAGAGCATGCACCAAAACACACCAAAAAATCGCACCAAAATAGAGCAAAACCGCACCAGATTTTTAGCCACAATGCACCAGATTTTGCACCACATGCACCAGATTTTTCACCACATGCACCACGAAATGCACTAGAATTGAAACTCAATAAACACAACAATGATTTAGCACACCAAATGGAATCAATATAATTGGTCACAATGGGCTATCAAATGCAGTAAAGATCAGCTATGACAAACACATGACAGCAAATGCACCAATAACCAAATTCGAGTTACTGTTCCATTGGTTTACTGTTCATCATACTTAACATGAGTTCTTCAGTTGGCTTACTTGCTACACCTGGGGAGACTAATAACAAACACAAATACACAACATAACATGTAATGAGACACAAAAACGCAAGCACCAAACTGATACACAAAATTCATACAAAATTGAAACAAACACTGATACACTAACACTGATATACTGATACACTAAAACACACTACACCAAAAACACACATAACATAACAAAGACTCTCTAAAACACTAAACACACAACAAAAACAAATAACACACAGCCTTTAACAGGAACTCATGATCCCCGGCAACGGCGCCAAATTTGATCGAAGCCGTATCCGGTCAAATAAATACAATTAAGTGTAGTACTAGGAAGTGACTCCTAGGTCGTCTCCGAAGGACCGTCTTTTACTGTTAAAGGCTTAAACACGCAGTGGGGGGGTTTGTTTGCAGAAGTGACTCCTAGGTCGTCTCCCAAGGACCATCTTTTACTGTTAAAGGCTTAAACACACGAGGGGGGGGGTTTGTTCAGATTCTTTTTAGTTTGTAACACAATAAATGCAGATAACACAGCAAGTAAAATAGATTGACTCCTTGTTCAGATTGCAACTCTTTTATCCCTGGTTCTCAAAAGATTACTCTATTAACCACTTAATCCTTATTCCATCCGAGTTAACCAATTAAGCGAAGATTAACTCAAGATTTACCTACACGAATTAAGCAAACGTATACAACATCAACCTCTTCATAGATTAAGCAACTGTGGCATTGAAGCACAGCCCATTAAGCATGGACACAGAGGTTCAATGGAGAAGAACAAAGCAGAACAGAGACAGAAAAATATACCCAACCTCAAACAGAGATTACAATCCACAACAAGAGGCCAACCCAGTGTTTTTATCCTTCCATTTAAACGGAAACAGAAACGAAATCACAAACAGAAAGTAAAAAGAAAATAGAAACAAAAATGCAAGGAAGAGAAGGAAAACGAAATGGCAGCTCAGAGAAGCAAAACATAAAGGAAGCAGAACAGGGAAGCAAAACGTAAAACTCAGCTGAAAGCAAGAAAAACGTGAATAACAATGGAGTTTTTTGAGCAGAGAAATAAAATGTTCAGCACCTCAAGAGACCCAAAACGTCAAAACTAAAAATAAAAAAAAAGCTAAAACGTCCAGCATAATGAAGGGGGCTACTGTTCACGTGGTCACATCAGACCCCTCCCCTAGTGGCTGCCAAGTCAGCCCTAGCCTAGACCTAAATGAGCAAAATGAATTGGGCCCAATAAAATACAAGTCTGACCCAACAAACTACAATAAAATAAAATATAAAATGAAAATAAATGTTGAGGTGGAAAATGGTGCTGAGGTGGAAAATGACGTGGCAGCTCCACTTGAAGTCCTAAATTAATTCCAAGCCCAAATAATTATTAAACTGCCCTGAAAATAAAATTTGGAATAATTAGATTCAGAAAATTCAAATTAGCTAAAATATGAATTACCGGTCCAATTACAACCCAAATAGAAAACAATGCAGAATATAAGCAATTAGGCACAAATCAAAGATTAAAATAAGTACAGAAAGGTAAGAAAATAAGGGAAAATATTGACTCATCAACCATACACTTTCGCCAACCTTCACCATCTCACGCTTATCACCCCTTCTCCACTTTAAACATCTCATTGCCTAACCTTTGGTGGGCCTAGATCATGGGCAAGATGACCCTCTTCAAGACACCATTGTCAACCATGGAAGGGAGTTCTCCATCATATGGGTTCAATGATGGTAATGATGCTTAGTGGTTACTCGGATTGAACAGAGGGTTAGATCAGTGAGAAAATATTTCGAACCAAGGATTTGATGCTACAATTGAGTTGGAGAGTTACTGTTCCATTGCTTACTGTTCATTATTGACTATTTCATTCATTTGAATTTGAAAGCCCCCATTCGTGTTTGCATTAAAAGGACCTCGGACTAGCTTGTTGCTCCTTGAGAGACGACCTTGGAGTCACTTCCTAGTACTATAAATCTCATATTCTATTTGATCGGGTACGGCACCGGTCATCAAATCTTTATTCTTAGTTTTCACAGACTTTTTTTCTTTCTCTTTTTTCTTCCTTTTTCTATTTTTTCTCACTATCTCTTTTGAGTTTCATTTGTGGTTGATCCTCTGCCACTTGTTGAGGTGAAAGAGGATGAAGTACAAATTTCTTTTCCTTATGAATAAAGGTAATCTCATTAGTAAGACCATTATGCATGGTTTTCTTATCAAATTGTCATGGTCTTCCTAATAAGATATGACAAGCTTCCATTGGTACTACATCACATAGTACTTGGTCTTCGTAGTTCCCAATGGAAAGCTTGACCTTTACTTGTTGATCAACTACTATGTCACCATCCTCATTAAGTCAATGTAATTGATAAGGTTTAGGATGAGGCTTAGTAATTAGACTCAACTTTTTAACCAACCTAGTGCTACAATAGTTGCACCATGAATCATTATCTACAATGAGAGAACATGCTTTGTTAGAAACATTGCATCTAGTATGAAATATGTTCTCCCTTTGAGTAGGGTACCACTAGGTTGGTTGTTGAGGAGTCTCCTAATCATGAGGAGCTCTCCTTCATAAGGATAAGTCAACTCCACATTGTCCTCTTGCTCACTTGTTTCCTCCTCACTATCACTAGAGGAGGTAGTAGTCTTTT